CAACATGTACAAATTTTAGTTGAAATTCTCTTTTCTAACTCATTAATTGATATACTATTTGATTTATTCTTATTAGTTCCTACAGAACAATCAAAAATATTTATTCTTTCATACATTTGTCATATTAATACAAACTTCAGATAATTTCAATTTAAATACAGATGCTCAACAGTTTTTACTACAACTTCTTGGATTTATAACAATAAAGGGTACAGATTACGGTTCATCTAGTTCATCTACAAATCCGTAATGGATTTGTGTTTTGTAATACGAGAAAGAGAAAAACAAAAACAAAACATAACAAGATGAATCAAATAAAATAAAAAATCAACAATTAGAAATTGAAAAATATTCAAACTATGGTGAATCTTTACGTAATCTATTTACAGTAATGGATGTAATAAAATCATTAACAGATCAAACAAAACAATCAATATTTCCTCAAGAATTTATTACACAGTCAATTTCTTGTGGAATGGAATTGACAAAACAAGAAATTGAAGATTCAAATATATTTTTTAATAGAGAAACTGATATACAACTGATTGATTTTATGAATAAAAATATAGGTGATAATTCTGAACCATCATCTGATTCATTGATTGTTAATTTTATTACCGATTATCTAATGATTTTATAACTGATACAAAATATAGTATATACACATTATTCCACAATATACCTGTAGTTCATTTGAAAATGCGCACTAAACTATTATATCTATTCAATGTATTTATCAAAAACATTTTAAATGATGTAGATTTTAGTTTGTCAACTGGTATGAGTATGCTTGTTGATGTAATTCGTTCAACAAAAGCATATATATTAGACAGTATAAAAATTAAATTAATTAATACGGTATTAGAGAAAACATGCGATCTTGATGCTGTAGGAGATATTGAACTCGATACTGTAAAAGCAAGTAACATTACATGTAAAGCTACAATATTTTACAAAGGTTATAGACAATTACATAGAAATGTTTATCGTACATTTGGATTAAATGGGATGGATTACACATGTGAATGGATAGAACAAGGTTTCCCATCTGAGACAGTCCCCTGTAAAACAGGAAACCCAATTTGTGAAAAATTCAAATCAACCGTTTCATCTACTCAACAACTATTTGTCATGCAGATATCAAGCAACAAGAACTACCCTCCTCCGCAATGTTTTCTGCTTTTATCGACTTTCACTTTTTGTACATTGCAAGAAATGCTTTTGCATTCAGAAAAATGTGTTGCGCTGATCGTGGTTTTCTTGGGGAAATATTATGCTAATCATTTGAACCTGATCCACTTAAAATAGAAATTGAGACTTTGGAAAAGAAATATCAAGATTTTTTCACACGTAATCACGCGTGAAGATTGTTCACTTGTGTAAAGTCAGTATAAAACACTTCTGATAAATGAACACGTCCGAAATTTCTCAGTCGAGCAGTTCTTATGAAATTGTTCGGCGCCGCACGTTTGTGCGAGCCAAACGTCTTATACATAATTACACCATTTTTGATGTAAAAATTTTCAAGAATTACCTTAAAGTAAGTTTATTTAATAAATTATCACAAAACT